TTCCTTTTTTTAGAGTGTTTTCTGAAGGCAACGAATGTCTCGATTACAGCAGGCCTCTTTGCGCTTGCATCCACGGCCTTAAACCGTTTCACGTGCATGCACTGGGTGACTATAATTTCTTGTTGAAAAGTTAGCCTTCGGAAATGAAATCCAAAAAGCCGTCAGCTTGGAAAGAAAGAGCCGTCGGGCATAGGAATCGCTCGATCGTTTCTCAGCGGCGCCTCAGACACCGGCAACCTGAACTGCTCAAAGGGCCCGGGGCAAATCAAATCGAGCACAGGGACGGGGATCCCCTTCTCCAGGGTCACCCCAAGCCGCAGCGGGCGGAGGAGATGCCGGCGGACGGGGCCGGCAGGGAGGGAGATGCTGTGAGTTTCGGCAAAGCCGCGGATCCCCTCGCCTCCGCGCGGAAGGTGGCTGGCTACGGTAGGTTACAGCCGTACAAAAAGTCTTCAGCGTCGCGGTTCCGCTTCTCAAAGGTCAGCGTTGCGCTGGCTAAATTGCCTTCACGGGGTTTACGTACGAGGGAAGATCAGAGCGAATAACCCGCAGGCACGATCCCTAATGAAATCGATTCTCCGGTGGAAATTGATGTTTCGGCCCGGTTCTGGCGTGCGCCAGAGCCGCTCGGCGCAGCCGCCCCTCCCGCCTGCCTGGGAGCCTCTCGCTCCCGCCGAAGCCGGGGCACGTACTCCGGGATTACAGAGAAATAATGAGGAAAATATGTTTGCAACAGTATAAATGAGACTCATTAGAGAGCGAGTGGAAACGATGGGGCTGATCGGAGACATCGGGACTAAGAGTTTCCCGGATTTGTTTAATATTCATCGCGCGTAGTCGCTAAGAAGCCACCGCGTCTTCGCACGAATGTCACCGCGCACCTGCATATCGCGACGGTTGTTTCAGGCCTCGATCGCACGATGCTTTCCCCCAGCCATTGATAATCACGTCAGGTTACTCAGGAGAAGCCAATATTTTTGTGCAAAGCTCAGATAGTAGCAGGTAATGAGTATTCCCATCTCAGCAGCTTTCTAATGCAAACTCATACAGAGAAATATTACACATTAGCCTCCTTTAGCGGAAGCTCATTAAAATAGGAGTGTTTGCACTCCCACTGCTGTATGAAGATGTTGCATTTTTCAAATTTGATTCCTAAACCAATTAGTTTTCCCTACTATAAACGCCTGCCTTTCTACACTGCGCATCAGAAGGCAGGGTTGTCATTTCTTTAATGGGAGTCATTATTTGAGCTGAAATGTTTGGTCTGGTGAGTCAAGTTGGTTTCCATTGTGTAAAGCAAAAAACGCCGCTGTCGTCTGCCTGCTGCTTCTTGCTGGATTCTTCAGCACCCGGTGGGTGCCCAGCCCCGCACCCGATGGGCTCCCCTGCGGGCACACGGGGTGGGAGGGGGATCCTGCCCGTGTGCTTTCCCTTCCACCGAGGTGAAGCCGAGTTTAAGGCTGCTGGGAACGCAGGCGCGTGCCCCGAGGTGCCGGCTGCACCGGCCGAATGGGAGCGCAAAAGCGGAGGGGGTGTATATATCATAAGTT